GGTCCTTGGCCTCTGTCTGTCAGAGGCTGGAGAGGGATGGCAGGAGACAAATCGCTTGATCATTGTCTTTGGTCCATCCTCTCTGGGGCACCTGGCGCTGGCCACTGTCGGCAGACAGGACACTGGGCTAGATGGACCTTTGGTCTGACCCAGCACGGCCGTTCTGATGTTCTTATGTAACTCCCTGCCACAAGGCAGCGGAGCATCCTTGCTGGGGGAGGGAGTACTGCAGCCCCTGCCAGCCCTCACTCCCAGGAGCAGATCCAGTTTTGCCCTGCATTCCTCCAGAGGGCACCCCTGTTCCTGCCACCATTGCAGGGAGAGGGGGAGGAGTTGGGCTGCTGAAGTCCCGGCCACAAGGTGCCAGGTATCCGGATTTGTGCATGTTGGGGGTGGCAGCACTTACTAATGAGGAGCTGCTGGAGGCGAGAGAACCCACTCTGGGTCCCCAGCAGGAGGCTGACGAGGATCCAGGTCAGCCCAGCTGTGAGGATAATCACCACCACGCGCAGGGGACCTAGGGGGGAAGATAGGGACGGGGTCAGGCATAAGGCACAGGCAGCCCCCCCCATACTACACACCTCCCCCCAGTGCAAACTGCCCCACCCGTGCTGCACATCTCACCCTACTGCAACCCACCACCCCCATGCTGCACCCCCCACCCCACTACACACCCTGCCCTCTGCAACCCACTCCTCCGTGCTGCACTTCTTGCCCCATTGCACACCCTGCTCCCATGCATCCCACCCCCCCGAGCTGCACACCCTGCCCCCATGGAACCCTCCCCTCCCACATTGCCTTTGATCCAAGACAGCCCCCTAAAGCAGGGCTACTCAATATGCAGCCCACAGCCTGTTGGTTTGTGGCCATGGTGCAGTTTGGGATTACATGGGGCTCAACACGTGGCCCACGAGTGGGGTCCTTTGAATGTGGCCTCCACTGGGAACACACTCTACAGTGGGGAGGTGGCTCCCCAGCGGGGTGCACATGGTCGGGCTGGCTGGAACAGAGGGGTACAGAGTGTCGGCGTTTCTAGCACCCAGGGAGGAGGTGCCGGGGCATTGTGTGAAAGAAGCTATCTGCATGTAGATGCAACCACACAGAGGCTGTGGTGCTCGGCATGTGCTGGGAGTATCATTGTGGCCCCCGGCACTTCCAAAGTTTGAGTAGCCCCCTGGCCCAGAGGGAGCAGCCTTGGGCGGCTCCTGAAAACTTCTGGCTCTGTGCCTCCCCAGCCCTGGGCCACACACACCTGCCAGGCGCATGGCCCCCGTCCAAGGGCCCCAGCTCTGAGCCCAGAGGGACCGGAACCTGGGCTGGAAGGGAAGTTACGGGTCAGTCAGAACCGGCCCAACCTGGGGACCCATTAGCCCCCTGGCCCAGAGGGAGCAGCCTTGGGCGGCTCCTGAAAACTTCTGGCTCTGTGCCTCCCCAGCCCTGGGCCACACACACCTGCCAGGCGCATGGCCCCCGTCCAAGGGCCCCAGCTCTGAGCCCAGAGGGACCGGAACCTGGGCTGGAAGGGAAGTTACGGGTCAGTCAGAACCGGCCCAACCTGGGGACCCATTTCCCCAGGGTACCCCAGCACCCACAGACCCCCCAACGGACCCCCAGCCACCTCTCCCAGCCCCCACCCCCA